CCAGCTGGCGATGGTGCGTTGGAACCCGGACGATCGACTGCCCTTCAACGCACGCGGAGGGGCGCCCGTCAAGCTGCTCTATCATGCCATCAGAGAATGGGAAAGGATCCTCAAGAGTGATACCATGGAGCTCTGGACTCAGATGAAAATGGGCCAGGCCTTGAGTTGAGTCTCGTGTTTATATTCACTCATGGCCTGCCTGAGACCGTAAGATAAATTACATCATCAACTGGAAAGCCATGGACTGATCTTACGGGTGTGCCTTTCTCAAGTATTTGATAACCATCGGATCTTGCATGGACGCTCCAGCTTCAAAGGTTCCAGACGCCTATGTGGTGGCTATGTGAATGGGGACGACTACCGCTCCAGACTGAGGTCTCTGGAGCAAAGGCTCCTCGACAGCTCTCCACAACCTCTCTAGATCCCGATCCTCCACCACCAATCTTGTGTTGGCCTTGCTCTCACTCTATCATCATCGTTTTTTTGTGCTTACACCTCATCTGCATCTCCGTCTATCTTATTCAAAACGCTGTCTTTTCTTTCATCATACGATCGCACTTTCATACGTTTGCTCACCCTCCCCTTTGAACTATTGGTCTTTTTTGTCTCTTCTTGGTTTGGTTACGTCCGTTCTTCCCACATAGATTCTTTGACATGACCCCACTCAAGCATTTTGTTTTTCCTGGTTCATTATTCAATATTTTGATTATAATTTACTAACTCGATTATCAACGTCTCGTTTCAATCTGATTTGATACTTTTTCTCTATTCTTTTCTTCTTTAATTATGACCAGGTTGACGGATGTGTGGATAACCGTTCCTCTTACAAGAAAAAAAAGAAGAAGAATAAAAAGGTCTTCCTAGAACCCTTTATTGCGACTGGATAGCCCGGTTCATGTAGGAGCTTTTTATGCACTTTTTTTTTTGCTCCATCGAAAACATTGAAATGAACTACAGCGCGCCCAAACTCGGTACCAAATCTGAGAAGGTTAGGGTTAGAGTTTAAAGGCTGAAACCTAACTTTGTCACTATCACAATACATCGTCACACTTTACTGCACGTTGTATCTTAGTTCCATTAGTTTTCATCCTCTTCTCTCATCGTTCTGAATCACATTCATTCTTCTTGCCATCTCATCTTCGCCGCCGCTAGGTACGCCTTGTATGTTCATTTCATTTCATTTCTTTCATTCCCCTCTCCTTCTTCATCTCTAACTCGTCATCATCATCAGGTGTGCTGTCATTCCGAGTCCTCGCACCAGGACCAATCAATGATCACCAGATGACAAGTGACATCAGGCTACTGAATTGAATCAATTCAGTAGTCTGATGTCACTTGTCATCGGGTGCTTATTGATTGGTCCTGGTGCTGTTTGCATATGTAGATGTTTTGGCACAGTGACTCTGCATCAAAGCTTGGTTGAATCACTCTTTGAGAAAGTTTGGAGTTACAAAAGAAGCTTCCTGGGACTTTCTCAACTGTTGAGCAAGACTTTTGTGCAATGAAGGCTATTATTCATTTCTCATAAGCCTCAAACCAGGCTTGAGAGAAGTTACTGTGCTCTCTGGGACCTTCTTTTCTAGTTTGTCATGTGTATCTTCCCCTATTCATTAAATTTTCTCTACTGTTTATACAATAGTGTTGGATCTTATTGGCACTAAAACTTTGCACAGGCAGATTTCCATTTGTAAACTTACCCATGTATACACTTATCCAGCTAAACCAAACTTTTGAACATCTGAATTAATGTTTCCCATAAGTGGTCTAACAGTGAGTATTTAACATGCTTTATTGTTTGGGATTAAACAGAATTAGTTCTTATAATAAACCAAATTTATAGAACTACATTTTTTCAAAAAAAAAAAAAAAGGAATGAGGACCAGATAAGATTACTCTAGTAGCACACAGAAGTTTAGGAGATTATCTGGTTTTACACATAATGTGAAAATTCATTTTTTTTTTTTTTTGGTTTCTAGATGTTGAGTATAAGCGAGCAAACTCTTGCATGCCAGAAATATGACTGGACTCAAATAATTCCTGAGGCAAGTATGATCTATCTCTGGAAGAGTAATTAAAAGATGATTATGATGAGTAATTTTAAATGCCTTTAAAAAGATGATAAATAAAACTCAGTTCCAAATTTCACTTCCTCACCCCTTGTGATTCTTGAAAACTTCTGCACCTTCATTCCTCCATGTCTGATGTACTCTGCAGCTGCACAACTTATCATACCATTTTAATTCCCATTACAAGGTGATGAATTCAACCACAACTCTTGTGAAATAATCTTGAAATCTACCCTGAATTGTCTTGCATTAAGGCCTATTCTTGAGGCAAGAGCAGGAAGCTTACGGACTCATGTGACTTGTCCAATCCTGCTGGATGAGTTTACCCCGGCTGTCCCCCTCTCAATGCCTGTGATCCCGGGGGGTCTGGACTAACAAACGACAACGGACCACGAGCGATTATCAAATCCCCAAGATCGAAGACAGCAACCATATCAATTTAAGGAAACCCCAAATCCATGTCCGGGTCGAATCAGTCAAGCAGAACTGAACAGCCACTCGAACGGTGGGCCCGACGACTGGAGCTTCATCGTAAAGTTAAACTTGCCGGGATCGATGCCGACGGAGTGCTCCGGGGGAAATTGATCTCAAAGGACAAGTTTCTATCGGCTATTAAGAGCGATGGTTTGGGCTGGTGCAGTGTCGTCTTTGGTTGGGTGAGTCGGTGTTTTTTCGATAGATATGGTTGCGTACCACTGGGTTCTGATCTTTTTTTGCTTGACGAATGAGTGCTTAGGATATCCATGACCGCACCTACAATCCGGAACTGACAATATCAAATAGCCTGAACGGCTATCAAGATCTAACTGCCCGAGTAGATCTGGACTCGTTTAGGCTGGTGCCCTGGGAACTGTCCGATTTATCGGACCCAAATAGCGAAGGATTGCCGTTTTTCCTTATCGATTTCTTCGATCCTCAGGATCCCAAAACCCCTCTTTGCGCTTGCCCACGAGGGCTACTCAAAACTGTCCTGGAGAAAATGAAAGTTCAAAGTAGCATTGAGGCTTTGGTGGGCATCGAGGTGTGTTTTTTTTTATTCATAAGCCCATTTCTCTACTACATCCATCAAAAAGGGGCCCTGTATCCCTCCTAATTTTGGAACGGTGCGCCATTATACTGATCTGCAAACCCTCTCCGAACAGTACGAGTACTTTCAATTCCAGGGTGCACATTCATTTCGATATATTGGCTTTCCTTTTCCACGACTCCATAAAGATTTTCCAAGGATGTCAGCTGATGCTCGTTTTACCTCTGCCTACACATCCTGCTGTCTCTTTTCCACAGAAACTGCTCAGTCAGTGAAGGACAAGAGCTTTGTCAATCTGACCCCACTGACCCCCGGAATGCACGGATACTCACTGTTGCGTCCGGGACTTAACCAAGAGTACTACCACGACCTTTATGAAAAATCCCTAGAATTCGGTATACCGATCGAAGGGCACCATACTGAAACTGGTGAGCCTATTTGGGGGTTGCTTTTCCCTCTGCTCCCATCTCTTGCTGATGTACATACATTGACAGGACCTGGGGTCTATGAAACCGCACTGGAATACAAGAATGCTCTGCGTATGGCGGACAATGCGATCTTGTAAGTCTACTCATGCTCTATTTATCATGATGAGCTAGTTTGTTCACTCATGAAAGTAATTTTCAAGGTTCAAGTTGACAGCCAAAAGCGTCGGAATGAAGTACGGGATCATGCCATCATTCATGGCCAAGCCGCATTCCAACCTACCCGGCTGCTCGGGACATGTGCACGTCTCACTCTGGTCGAATAACCAACAGGACAACCTCTTTGCCGGCCAACAAGCCGATCCGAGCTGGCCAGGCCATACCTCGAACATCTCGCTGCAAGCAGAGCAATTCATTGCAGGACTGATGACGTGTCTGGCCGATATCGTCCCGTGTCTCATCCCGACTATCAACGGCTACAAGCGCCTCGTCGAGGGCTTCTGGGCTGCGACTCAGGTCAGCTGGGGCCTCGATAGTCGATTGGCTTCCGTTCGCATTATTGCACCTCCCAATTGTGACCCTAAAGCAACGCGACTAGAGGTCAGAGTGCCTGGGGCAGACATGAACCCACATGTGCGTAATCGACACACGTCCAATGAATTATAATGATGCGTATATGTGCGTTGTTTGTTGATGATTCCCCGTTCCGTTCACTATCTTATAGTACGCTCTGGCAGCCATTCTAGCCGCCGGATTCTACGGAATCCAAAACAAATTGACGTTGAAAAATTTCCCCCCGGTTTCAGGATCGACGGGCTCAGATGCGAAGCCGAACCCATCGAACGCCCTGCCCAGCACATTACACGAGGCCACCCAGCGGTTCATGAGCCCTGAGAGCAAAGCCCGGGAGATATTGGGCGATGCATTTGTCAACCATTTCGGCCGAACCAGGGTTAGCACACATTCTGCTGTTATCTCTTCATTGGGTTAGGCCCCGCTGAAAACCTCTCGTTCATGTAGGAAAACGAATGGAAATTGTACACTCAAGCTGTCACTAATTGGGAGCTAGAACGGTCCGTCTTCCTTGCACGCATCTAATTGTCCCTTAAAAATCACCACCACTCACAGACATGTCTGGTCGTTGATTTGCAGGTACCTCGAGTTAGCTTGAAGGTGGCCATTTTTTCTTCTTCTAATTTTTTTGTTGTGTCTCTGTGATCTTGCTTGACTATACTTGAAGGATCGTTCTTGTCCACAACCGTCTTGACCAGCATACCCGACCCTTACGGACATCCGCCTCAGGCATCATGTTCATATGTCTAATCCAACGCTAAGAATTGACCGTGGATATCTCGTGTTTCATCTCGCTGTATCTTCTCTTTTAATTTCCCATTCATGTATCGTATGGCTCCTCTGGTCCGCCTGTCCTCGCCTCAGTCACATTCGGTCTGAACACTTTTTTTGCTTCTTCCGCCAACCACTGGTCGATTAGCTTAGTCGGTAGAGCGTGGTACTAATATCTTCAGCTCATCGGAAGCCTGGATATACATGCCAAGGTCATGGGTTCGATCCCCATATTGACCAGTACCTTTTGGTGCGGGTGGTAATTTTTGCTGATGGTCAGAACTCGCGGCGTCAACATTAGATAAGGAAAGTTCATCTTCCCCTCTTGTGCAGCAATTGCTGATCTCATACGAAAAAGGAATTGCTCGTCAACCTGCCATTTCTTTGGGCCCCGAACCTTCGTGGCACACACGTGACAGGCCTGGCGGTATTTATCCTCGAGAGCTCTGCTTGCCAAACTTCCACCTTCATATATCCCCCAAATCCAGCCAGCGTCAATATGCGGATTGCATTTCAAAACAGGAGATAAGATTTTTGTTTCTCTCAGAGGAGCGCAAGAAAACAGCCGCGCTGGAGAGAGCAGCAGATAGGTTTCATTGTTTGGTTGATGAGAAGATGACGGTAGAGACAAGCGATATAAAAAAAAAGATAAACAAGAGAAGAGAAGAGAGGGTCTTAACGGATGGATGGAAGTCATTCGAGCTGTTGGCGGGCCCACAAAGGCTCGAACAAGTCGTGGTTAGAGCCCAGCGCATAGGTGAGAGTTTTGGCTTCGTAGAACGAGGGACCAGATGAGGTTATCTGCAGTTCTTGGGCCAAGTTGTCGATGACCTCGTCGAGCAAATGGGCTTGTCCGACGGTGATTCCGTGGAACCCTATATGGTTGACATGGGTCTTGTGTTGGTTTTTTTTTTTTTTTTGTCAGGATGAAGAAGGACAGGCCGATGTGGAATCAGGATGTAGAACGGTGTGGGAGAGAGCTTTGCGGGTAGGAAAGAGAGAGAAGACGACAGGAGGGGACGTACGATGTGGACATGGAAATGATAGTAGCTGGGCTGGTAGTGCACAAACATGCGCAACTCGCGCGCACAGACCTTGTACTTGTTCTCGATCGCCGCCGAGCCCCGGGCCCGGATCCCCTGCAGCATTCCTAGATGGCTTGGTCGTAAATCCCGCAGACTCTGGATCCCGCGATTCTTCACTATGCATAGCAGGTATAACGACGACAGCGTGCTTTGGTCCCATTTCCTATCATCACTTTCGTTTAGCTATCCTCCCGTTTCTCTTGTTTGGCCTCTCCGTGCTACCCGCAGCCCCCTTCTTCCCTTCGGTCTTTGCCGGCGCGGAAGGGAAAAATTGGAAGGGCTTACAAGTCAGGCATGATCATGAATCCATCGGTGTCAGACGGCTCTTCATACACGATCTTATCGGCCTCAGTGACATGATCGAGGATGTTATACAACCTGTGGTGTGGATGAAAAGGATCAATCGCCAAATGAGATGTGAGGGCGCATCATTATATTAAATTGAGTTCTGGGACATAAACACGAACCAGGATAGTCTCGTTGGCGGGATGCCTTGGATGTAGGGCAAGACAACTTGCTTGTACAACTCCGGTGTTTCCCTGATGATCTTGAGGGCCTGTTTGGTGTACTTGCGGATGTGCTAACAGAACGAGGGAGAGGAAAGGTGAGCAAGAGACGACAAGGATGAGGGGAGCAGAGGGAGAGCAGACACGAGTTGGGTAGCGGGGAAGATGATCTGAAGCTTAAGGTCGGGGGAGTTTTCGACGGCGGGGCGGATGGGATTGAGCCAAGCCAAGGCCCATAAGTACACGTCGTTCTGGCCGATGGCTTTGGTGTGAGTGATGTGTTGGGGCGAGTGGATGGAGGCCAATATCTCGGGCTGGGTGGGGAAATGGGTCTTGTTGAGAATGATGATCGCCTTGCCCGTCCTATCATCATTGTCGTCGTCGCCAACGCGCTCGATGGTGCCCAACAAGTTGACCGTATGATGGCTCGGATCTATCAGAAAATTATATTCCATCGCCCCTTCTCAGTCCCGCAGTAGTTAAGACTCTCGTGAATCACTTCTGACACACCTTCGTTGATCACCTTGTCCAACTTGAACCGTCGCAACAGCGCCTCCACTCGATTCTCCTCGCTGTTCTCCGCTGACGCCATGTTTGTCTGGAGTAGTCTGATTCCTGTTTCCCCACTACTCAAGGAAATCTCTCAGCCCAGTAACTGGGCTGGCGTAGAGCGACGCGCGCGGTGTGGACACTCCAAATCAAGCATCCTCAGGGCATCAGAGGACCGGCAAGCCTCCCTATGTAGAGGGTGTTGGAAAACGTATGGAAGAATCACAAAATTGGCACAATGATACCCTTGAGAGAGAGAAGGGTGTGAATTCACAGTTTCTTTTTTTCTGGAAGATTACTCATGGAATCATGGTTTTCAGGTATGTACAAAAGGTCATATTGACAGAAAAATATTAAAACCAGATATTTTCCCTGGGGGGTTTCTTGGGTTTTCCATTTTTTTGGGCTTAGATAGTCACACTTCTGTCTTAGCCCAGTCATTGTAGAGCGAGATGAGCAGTAGAAATGGTATGGTTAAGGCTGAGATTTCTTTTTATATATATGTAGTATATCAATACATCAGTGAGTTGTTGTATCAGTTATTTACATTCTTAAGATCAGTTAAGAGCTTTGGGGTAAGAAATCCACTTATTTCAACACCCCCATTCTGGGGGATAAGCTTGCCGAGGTGCTGTCATCAGCACTGTGGCCAGAATTCTCTCGCGCAGGCAGCTCCTGTGGGACAACATCTCAAGAGCCCAACGTGGACTCAGACATGGTGCCTTGATAATAAAATGATATTGAGGTGTATTCGAAGCATAAATTAGTAATACGAGGATGCTCTGGAATGGATAAGGGTACCTTATCCTTTTGAGGTATATATCTATATATTACAGGATGTGGTGACTTTGGGTGCAAGATGGTCTAAAGGATTAATACGAAAGAAGATTGCATGGAATAGAGGAAAAATATATAATCAACAAGTGGAGGAAAAAGGGGGCCGTCTCAGGTAGTAGTGTTATTAATGTGAAAAGAGGTGATTTCATCAAAGAGGAGCTGTTTAAGTGTCTCCTTGGAAATCTCACCCTTCTGACGGTCGAAGGCGAAGAACTCTTCATCGAGGGGGGGTGCGGTGGGCTCGTCGTCGGGGTCGTGGTACGACCCGAGATATGGATGCTGGAGAGCCTGCTCTACGGTGAGACGTTTCTTGGGGTCAAAGGTGAGGGTTTTGGAGAGGAAGTCGATGGCCAGTTTGGATGCATTGGGGTACAGCGACTCAAATGAGCGCCTCTTGCGGAGCGGCAAGGACCTGATGTAATCGCGAGAACGCCGCGAGTTAATGGCGTAGAACTCGTCCAGCGTTGGCGTGCCAAGCACATCAAGAATCAGAGTCAATTGGTTGTGGTAGTCACGCCCCGGGAACATCGGCCGCCCTGATAGCATCTCCCCCAGGATGCAGCCCACCGACCACACATCTATTGCTTTCGTGTATTGCTTGAACGTCAGCATGATCTCCGGCGCCCGGTACCATCGTGTCGCAACGTATTCTGTCATGAATCCCGTCTCCTCTTCCGCAGTCCGGATCGAACGCGCTAGCCCAAAATCACACACCTTCAGGTCACAGTTGGCATTCAGCAGGAGATTCGATGGCTTCAAGTCCCTGTGAATCACATCGGCCGAATGAAGCGCCTTCAATGCGCGCAAAGTCTGATAAATGAAATATTGACAGTGGTCGTCCGAGAAGACTTGGGTTCTGATCACTCGGTGCATGTCGGTCTCCATAAGCTCCTGAATAATATAAACCTCCGTAAAGGCCTCGATGGAGGGGGGCCGGATGATGTCCACAATGGAAATGATGTTTTCCGAGACATTGTGCTGCTGGAAGTACTTGAGTAGCTTCAATTCGCGCAAGGTTCTAAGACAAAACATGGAATGGTCGAAAGGGACGATCTTCTTGATGGCGACTTTCTGGCCGGAAGGCCGATGAATAGCTGAGCAAACGATTCCGTAGGCTCCCTCGCCAATCACATCCATTACATGGTACTTGCTGCCCACATTGAACCGCACCCGGCGAGGTTCTGCCTGCGCACGAGAGCCCACCTGCTTGGGTTTCTGAACCGAAGTATTGTTGGGCATGCTGCCGGCGGACGCTTTGACTGTCGTTGAGGCATTGGTGTGGCCAGCGCTCGGCAAAGCTACTGTGGCAGAGGCCATATGAGATGATGATGATGTGTGAAGGTTGAAGAAGGCGAGTGCAGTATAGGAGGTGGTACCTAGCGAAAGTTGGTGTGGTGGATGCTGAGAGGATAGTGAACTGGACGAGAAAATTAAGCAGACAAGAGGACGCGCCTTAAGTAGTAAAATCAAGTGGAATTTCGCTTGGCTAGTTATGTATACCCCAGGTGCAACACAAAACATGAGGACCAGCCCAAGCTAGGCTGTGGCTTGCCTGGCCTAGTTTTTTCTTGGGTTTTTCTCTCGTTGTCAATGTGGTCCAAGCACGCGGTCCCAGTGTTGCAGAGGGAAGCTAGCCTGATCAAGACTGGCTGGCGAGGCATTTTAATCAAAAATGAGAAAATCCGAATACTAGTGCTGCAATAATTCTGTCTAATCCGGCATAGAGCTGGAGGGGCGACAACAGTTGCTATATGTCACGGTTTCCTCTGCGGGCCGAAGCTACGGAACGGAGCCCTTTAATACAGAACACTATTACAATGTATGTAAAGGTCTGCTATTGATTTCTCTCGGTTCATGAGGACAGCTGCTGCTGCTCCAGAAGAGACAAAACGGGTGTAAATGATGCCGCAGAGCTAGCTAGACTTACAACTAAATGTCACCAAGGAGGATGGCAACACTTAACATGCTTACGGAGTTGAGAAGCCTCCGATGTGAACCTTTCCGAGCCCACACGGACGGTCCTCATCACCATGGTATCACGGACCCTTCATCTTTAATTTTCGAGCCATCCCAGCCCATCCGAATGGATGGACTTCAATCTCCTGCTCAAGTCTCAGATGGTCAGTGATGGGTGCAGATAAGGCTCTTACCGCAGAATACATATACTTCTGCACTGCTGATCATCCTGCAACCAAGTGTCTCAACTTGGAGCAGCTCGCGTGATGGTTTTCCTCTTGAAGAACAACGAGGGGGACTACATGTT